TTAAGAAGCTAAAGGTAACCTCGTTGGCACCTGACCAAAATGACCAATGAGGAGACAAGATACTTTCAAAAGCTGGGAGGAGGGAGAAAAACAAAGGGTCTGGGGCTGTCTGTATGCTGCTTTTGTCGGGGACAGAACAGGAATGGAGTCTTAGAACTTTTAGTAAGTAATCTAGCTAGGTATGTGTTAGATTATGATTTCTTTAACTGGCTGAGAAAAGAACTGTGCTGAATAGAATGACTATCCCTGTCTGTGTGTCTTTTTTGTAACTTAAGGTTTTGCCTAGAGGGATTCTCTATGTTTTGAATCTAATTACCCTGTAAGGTATCTACCATCCTGATTTTACAGAGGTGATTCCTTTACTTCTATTAAAAGTCTTCTTGTAAGAAAACTGAATGCTTTTTCATTGTTCTCAGATCCAAGGGTTTGGGTCTGTGGTCACCTATGCAAATTGGTGAGGATTTTTACCAAACCTTCCCCAGGAAGTGGGGTGCAAGGGTTGGGAGGATTTGTGGGGGGGGGGAAGATGTGTCCAAACTACGTTTCCCAGTAAACCCAGTTAAAGTTTGGTGGTGGCAGTGGAAATTCCAAGGGCAAAGGGTAAAATTAATTTGTACCTTGGGGAAGTTTTAACCTAAGCTGGTAAAAGTAAGCTTCGGAGGTTTTCATGCAGGTCCCCACATCTGTACCCTAGAGTTCAGAGTTGGGGAGGAACCTTGACAGTACCTTATCGTCCCCCTCTCATCCTGGGCTAGTGAGCTCGTTGGGGTGGGGACCGTGTCGCGGTCGGTGTTTGTGCAGCACTATAATTAGCACTTAGAGCACATTACAAAGGAGATGTGTATCGCTCACCCCATTTTACAGTGGGGGAAACTGAGGCTCTGCGATCTGGCAGGACTTGCCCAGGGTCACCTAGCAGCAGAGAAATAGAACCCGGGTTTCGTCAGTAGACGTCCCGTGCCGCTCGCTCGCATGCATGCACCCTGAGGCCACAATGTTCTGCTTGAAACTAAGTGCTTCCGTTTTCCTTGGGTTTCCTGGAATATTGCACAAACTCAAGACCCGGGGGGAAAATGCTGAGCCAGGGTTGAACTTACTGGTAGCTCAGCAAAACGCTGTAATGTATTCTGGCTCTGATCCCAACACTCTCCCACCCCACTTTTATCTCTTCCCAACCCCTATGGCCACTGGGCCTAGGCCGCATTTCCCTGGGTTGTGGAGCCTAGCAGGGGCAACGTGCTGGCTTGGCACACCCACACCTCGGTTTCTGTGCCGACTCTGCTGCTGGGTGACGTGGGGCAAGCTGCTTCCCTGCTCTGTGCCTCAGTTTCCTGAGAGAACCATATTATCACCACCACCACCACACCATTTGGAGGTAACAGCGCCATTTAGGGGTAGCTACTTTGGATGCTAACACAGTACCAGGCCTGGCGTGGCTGGGAATTGATGCTAAAGGGTGTCCGTGTCCCCAGGATCTACCCTGGCAGCTCATCCCTCTGGAAAATGCACTGCAGAGCCAATGGAGCAGAAGGGAGGAAACCCCGCACGGCCTGGGGTTTAGGCAGCATAGTGCAATGAAATGAATGAGTGAAGCGGACAAAAGGGAGGGGAACGTACATCAGCAAATGTTTTGATGCCTCCTTTTCGCTTTCATTAAGTTCCATTCTCAGCTCTGGGGGTGGAATGGGGGCTCATGAGTTAGAGGGGAATGGGATTCAGGACTCCTGGTTTCTCTTCCCTCTTCTGGGAGTGGAGTGGGGTCTAGCTGTTGCAGGGGTTCTCAAACTGGGGGTCATGAGGTAATGGGGGGGGCCGCATGTCACAGACCCCCATGCATCCTGGGCTCTGGCTGTCCGCCTTGTGCAGGGCGGACTGTCTGAGCCCTTCAAAGCTGGGTGTCTGGAGAGCAGCGGCTGCTGGCCAGGCGCCCAGCTCTGAAGGCAGCGTGGCCTCCAGCAACAGCTCAGAAGTAAGGGTGGCATGGTATGGGGTGGGGGGGTTGTCACTTTTTGGGGGGGGTCATCACAGCCTGAAATATTTTCGGGGGGCGGGGGCCAGCAAAAAAAGGGTGAGAACCCTTACGTTAAAGCATGGGGGGAGAATGGGAGTCAGGACTCCTGGGTTCTCTCCCCAGCTCAGGGAGGGGAGTGAGGCTTAGTGGTTAGAGCGGGAGGAGGGGCCCTGAAAGTCAAGACCCCCAGGTCCTAATGGTGGCCCTAAGAGAGGTTTAATTTAGTGCTTCAGAGCGACGGGCTGAAAGTCAGGGCTGCTGGATCTAACCCCAGTGCTGGGAGGAAGTGTGTGTGACGGTGCCCCCTAAGACTTTATGGAAATAGGCTTATGAATATATATATATGACATAACTGGCATATGTTTTATGCTACATATACCATGTAACATATCTATGTAAAGGTTATGATCTATTGAATCTATTAATCCTACTTGTAGGCATATGTCAGTTTTGTATTCAAATATGAATATTGGCTGTGTACTGGCTTGATTTTTTTAAGTAGCCTTTGTAAAGCATTTGGTCAGCTTCTTGAGAAAGGAACGTGCAAATTAAGTACGCAGTCAAGCAGCATTTAACAAACAATGGATGTTGGAAGGCTCCAATCCACATAAGAAGTCTTCCTGGAGACATTCAAGATAGCATGTGGGCAATGGCTGCCACCTGTAAGTTCTGACTCATGCATGGACATATGACTTGCCCATGTGACTCCAAAACTCCATCGTGTAGCTGGACTTTGCACAGGAGAGAAGAGGGGGGCTCCACCCACAAGAGAGTCTATTTAAGCCCGTGGGAGACCCCTCCATTTGGTCTTCAGCTGGCTAAAGAGAGAACCTCTCCACCCCCAGCAAGGATACCTGAAAGAAACTGGAACAAAGGACAGTACAGGGGGTGTGAGTGATTGCTGGACCCAGACTAGAAGGAGGCTAGTCTGTAAAAGGAAGCTTACTGGATGAGGATTTTATCTGTATTCAGTTTTATTACTGTTCTAGACTTAGACTTGCGTGTTTTATTTTATTTTGCTTGGTAATTCACTTTGTTCTGTCTGTTAATATTTGGAACCACTTAAATCCTACTGTCTGTATTTAATAAAATCACTTTTTACTTATTAATTAACCCAGAGTATGTATTAATACCTGGGGGTGGGGGGCAAACAGTTGTGCATATCTCTCTATCAGTGTTACAGAGGGTGAACAATTTATGAGTTTACCCTGTATAAGCTTTATACAGGGTAAAACAGATTTATTTGGGGTTTGGACCCCATTGGGAGTTGGGCATCTGAGTGTTAAAGACAGGAACACTTCTTAAATTGTTTTCAGTTAAGTCTGCAGCTTTGCGGCACGTGGTTCAGACCCTGGGTCTGCGTTGGAGCAGACTGGTGTCTCTGGCTCAGCAAGACAGGGTGCTGGAGTCCCAAGGTGGCAGGGAAAGCTGGGACAGAAATAGTCTTGGCACATCAGGTGGCAGCCCCCAGGGAGTTTCTGTGATCCAACCCGTCACAGTGTGGTCTAGTGGTTAGAAGAGGGGCCTGGCTGTCAGGACTCCTGGGTTCTGTTCCTGGCTCATAAATTGACTTGCCAGCAAGTCCCCTGCCCCCCCCCCCCGGATGCCTTGGCTCACCCTGCTGACCAACTTAGTAAAGGGTTAATGTGATACCCGTCAGCTCTGTGTTCTTGGGGAACCAGGGCACAGTATCCAGCCTGTCTGACTCATAAAGGATGCCCCCAGCCTCTGCTTGAACCAAAATCGATCAGAGAAAAGACTTGCAGAGAGCAGTGAAGGGCAGTGTGAGACACACCTAGACCCCTCCTGACAAGGGTGATAGATTAAGGCAACTCCCCTAGCCTCATCTGCATCAAAGATAGGACAAGGAGGCATCTCCATTAGCATACAGAATGGAGAACGGAGATTCCAAGGCAAGAACCGCAGGGAACTCTGGGACCAGAAAAGCAGGGAAGCACGGCATGATGGGGGATCTCTGCTCCAGATGTTAATGAACCCACGCCTGCACACACCCAGCTCAGCAGTTATCAGACCAATTCTAGTAATGAATCCTTGATTGGTATCCAAAATACTGAAACTGCCTAATTGCATTGTGAGCTCTCTCCAAGGAACATCACCCATGTCAAGCCTGAATGATGTAGTGTTCTCCCATGAACCATTGATGTTTCTCTACAAAACCCCCCTACCTATGTTCAAGTAAGTGTTCTGATGCCTGGATCCAAACTCTGCATCAGTTCCATTGGGACTTCATCTTCTCCTGACTGATCATGCTGGGGGCTCTGCCTGTTTCCAGCATTCAGGGCCCTGAGCAACTACCATCACCTGGGAACTCCGACCAGTTCAAACTTCGTGGAGCGGTGAGATCCTCCCCCCTCTGTTTTCTTTTCTTCCTCAGGTATAACTTTCTAACCCTGACTTGTTTGATCAGGTACCGTTTTCTATATATGACTTTTGTAACCTTTAATAATGTAACTGTTATTTTGGTTTAGGCTCTCCTTGTGTAGTTATCACTGTTATTCAATAAATAACTTTTATGGTTAAGCTGGTTGCTTCCCTCCCTCTCTTTCTCTCTGAACTTTACTCTTTTGTGGTTTTGGCTTCCCCATTTACTCTGAAGCAATGCTCCTCTTACCTAAGCTAAAGATCCCTATAGCGCCCCAAAATCCTGTGGGGTTTGCTCATCCACCCCACTCCCACCCCCCTAGAAGAGTAACCCTAATAAATGAGCATACCTAATGGGCAAATCTGGTAACAAAGGGCAATCACGTGAGCCTGTTGCCATCTGGGCTCTGCCTATGCTGGAGGGAATATAAAGGTGACAGTGGGCAAGAGATCCTCCCTCCTTAGGGGACCGCCTCCTACCCATTCACGTGGTGGCAGCCCTCTGGGCTCCATACTCCGGCGCCTGATGGGGCAGTTGGATCATGGCACGGACTGGAGAGAAAAGGGCTTTTGGGGGCAGGGTGGCAGACGATACATCCCCAGCCCGTCCACCCATCCAGTTTATTCAACACAAAACTTCCTTTACATGCGTGAGAGAAGAGAAAGAGAAGAGGGTTCTGAAAGTTCATAAATTAATAGTCCAGGGGGTGCTACTCCCCGCCGCACTTGCCACTGGGCACCAACACAACATTTCTTCCTGCTACAGAGACCCCTTCCAGGCCTGGCTCCGCGTGAGCTCACAGTGTGAGCTCTGCGTGAGCCCACGGGAATCCTGTGGGTCATGATCTCAGGAGGGAAAAAAATTACACAGGGCTCCAGACCTCAGCAATATTCCGAATAATCTTCCTCCACGTAATTCGCTGGGAACCAGCCAACCTAGGAGGGGAAAACCCAGTCAGACGTTCAGTTGTTATCACAAAACAGCCATTGGAACATGGCCCATGTGTCAGATACACATTGCTGCCCTCTTCTGGATGAGATGGGTGCTGCTTACCTGTGTGTCATAAGCCCTTTACTGCTAAGAGCTAACAGGGATTCTCCTGTAACTCAGCTGGTTTTCACAGCAGGAAGATCTGTGTGCTATCCCCAATGCTGTGGTGAGATATGCTGGCCATGCCATGTGGCACAAGGGCCACTAACCTGAGGCATGGGTAGCAGGGATTGAACTGTGGACCTCTGGATCTAAAGGCACCAGCCTCTACTGCTTGACCTAAAAGCCCCGCTCCATTAGCTGGCTCATCAGCCGCTACTGTCCCAGCCACCACTAGGGGGAGACAAAGTGCCACGGAAGTCACCAGCTGGCCACAGATTTCTTGGCATTTTATACTCGCACTAGGTGTTCTTGTTACCAGATGCATCAGAACGTGTGGGCGCAGGCATGTGGAGCGATCGGGCGTGTGCACGTACGTGTGTGTGGAGATCGTACATGCGTGTGTGCAGGCATGCAGAGATTGTGTGCGCGTGAGCACATCATGCGCGGATTGTGTGTGTGCATGCATAGATTGTGGGTGTGTGTAGAGGTGTGAAGAACCCTGCCCTCTGCTGGATGGGATATGTCAGAGCGGGGCGTGTGCGTGTATATGTGTGTAACACTGCCCCCTAGTGGACGGGTTTGTCAGGCCCGTTCTGGTGTATAAGGGGGCTGTAAAACTCCGCCGGTCCCAACCCCCTCTTGGCGGTGCACTCACCCGGCCATAGATCTCCCCTTTCCACCAGCCCTGCTGCCCTTTCTTGCTCAGGATCTTTATGATGTCACCCTCCTTGAGTGTCAACTCCGTCCGGTCCCGCGCGCAGAAATCGTAGCGAGCCTTTGCCGAACCAAAGTACTTCAGCCCTCCTGCTGCAAGGGGACAGACCCACACTAGAGACAGGACTGGACACCCTCAAATAAAGATCTACCCCTCTGATGGGATCCTGGAAAGCGAGCAGCCCCCAGAAGCGCTCGTCACCCACCACATGGCTGGAGGCAGTGAACTCATGGTGAAAGACTGGCTCTCTCCCCTCCTAGGGCTCCGAGGGCTTGAACCGCAGAGGGTTAATTTCAAGAGACCACCAGGGTGGAGTCCATGCACCAGCCATGATGCACAGAATCATGGAAAAATCATGGAGCAGGTTCTCAAGGAATCAATTCTGAAGCACTTAGAGGAGAGGAAAGTGATCAGGAACAGTCAGCATGGATTCACCAAGGGCAAGTCATGCCTGACTAACCTAATTGCCTTCTACGACGAGATAACTGGCTCTGTGCATGAAGGGAAAGCAGTGGACTTGTTGTTCCTTGACTTTAGCAAAGCTTTTGACACGGTCTCCCACAGTATTCTTGCCAGCAAGTTAAAGAACTATGGGCTGGATAAATGGACTATAAGGTGGATAGAAAGCTGGCTAGATTGTTGGGCTCAACGGGTAGTGATCAATGGCTCCATGTCTAGTTGGCAGCCGGTATCAAGTGGAGTGCCCCAAGGGTCGGTCCTCGGGCCGGTTTTGTTCAATATCTTCATTAATGATCTGGAGGATGGTGTGGATTGCACCCTCCGCAAGTTTGCAGATGACATTAAACTGGGAGGAGAGGTAGATACGCTGGAGGGTAGGGATAGGATACAGAGGGACCTAGACAAATTAGAGGATTGGGCCAAAAGAAATCTGATGAGGTTCAACAAGGACAAGTGCAGAATCCTGCACTTAGGACGGAAGAATCCCATGCACCACTAGAGACTAGGGACTGAATGGCTAAGCAGCAGTTCTGCAGAAAAGGACCTAGGGGTTACAGTGGATGAGAAGCTGGATATGAGTCAACAGGGTGCCCTTGTTGCCAAGAAGGCCAATGGCATTTTGGGATGTATAAGTAGGGGCATTGTCTGCAGATCGAGGGACGTGATCGTTCCCCTCTATTCAACAGTGGTGAGGCCTCACCTGGAGTAGTGTGTCCAGTTTTGGGCCCCACACTACAAAAAGGATGTGGAAAAATTGGAAAACGTCCAGCGGAGGGCAACAAAAATGATTATGGGACTGGAACAGGTGACTTATGAGGAGAGGCTAAGGAAACTGGGATTGTTTAGTCTGCGGAAGAGAAGAATGAGGGAGGATTTGATAACTGCTTTCAACCAACTGAAAGGGGGTTCCAAAGAGGATGGATCTAGATTGTTCTCAGTGATAGCACATGACAGAATGAGGAGCAATGGTCTCAAGTTGCAGTGGGGGAGGTTTAGGTTGGATATTAGGAAAAACTTTTTCACTGGAAGGGTAGTGAAGCACTGGAATGTGTTACCTAGGGAGGTGGTGGAATCTCCTTCCTTAGAAGTTTTTAAGGTCAGGGTTGACAAAGCCCTGGCTGGGATGATTTAGTTGGGGATTGGTCCTACTTTGAGCAGGGGGTTGGACTAGATGACCTCCTGAGGTCCCTTCCAACCCTGATATTCTATGATTCTATGATTTTTAATAGAGAGGGCCCTCGGGGGGCCATGGCCGCCGACCAGTATGAGAGGTTCCAGCTGGGGCTGGGAAATGACGGGTTTTGCCTCCAGACATTTTTCTCCTGGTTTTGTCCCAATTTTACCATTTCTGTTGAAAGCCCCAATTTTGGGGCCCCCCACACTAAACCCTGGAAATTTGACAAAAACTAGAAGGGGGGGGGGCAAAAAATTGGGTTGAAAAGCCACCGTCCCTCAAGAAAAATGTTTTGGGGGAAATTTCCATCCCACATATGCCCAGTCATGAGAATCTATCCCAAGAACCCCGGGGGCTGAGATCCTGCAGCCCTGAGGGAGGGCTCTCAAGGTCTCCCTGCCCCAGCTTCAGCACTGGTCCCTGAGCACCCTACCGGGAGGTCTGGAGATGGCCCTCTGCTCGGGCTCCTTGAACGGGAACTGCAGCGTGGTGTCGAGTGTTTTGAAGCAGTCTTTCAGGGAGTTCTGCTGGTAAAACTCCACCAGCTCCTAGGGAGGAAGTACAGAGGGGCCCTGAGCATGCGGAGATTCCTTCTCATAGGTATCAAGGTCAGAAGGGACCATTATGATCATCTAGTCTGACCTCCTGCACAATGCAGGCCACAGAATCTCACCCACCCACTCCTGCAATAAACCTCTCACCTATGTCTGAGCTATTGAAGTCCTCAAATCGTGGTTTAAGGACTTCAAGGTGCAGAGAATCCTCCAGCAAGTGACCCATGCTACAGAGGAAGGCGAAAACCCCCCAGGGCCTCGGCCAATCTGCCCTGGAAGAAAATTCCTTCCCGACCCCAAATATGGCGATCAGCTGAAACCCTGAGCATGTGGGCAAGATTCACCAGCCAGATACCCAGGAAAGAATTCTCTGTAGTAACTCAGATCCCACCCCATCTAACTTCCCATCACAGGCCATTGGGCCTATTTACCATGAATAGTTAAAGATCAGAGCAGGAACAGAGACCGTAACAACTAGACCCCACTCCCCCAGCCCCTCCAGCCAGAAATAGAACCCAGGAGGCCTGATTCCCAGCCACCTCCTCCTCTAACCCACTAGCCCCCCCCCCTCCCCTCCCCTCGCTGGGAACAGAACCCAAGAGTCCTAGCTCCCAGCCCCTCCTGCTCTATTCAGTACACCATACTGCCTTCCTGAGGGCTAAGCAGCTGGTGTTGCACTAAGCATTCCCCCAGTGGCAGGAGCCTTCCAGTGAAGATGGAGTTGAAGCAGTGGATGGGAAATCCGCTCAATCCTTACTATGAGTCCTTTGAACGCCTTCTTCTCCGTGATGCGGTACAGGCCCTCCGACGTCAGGATCTTGATGTGTTTGATTTCTACGTTAAACCTGGGGGGACAGACACCAGCTCTCAGGGGACCGCAGGTTTCCTAACGATCTCAACAGCTGTAATTTTCCAGTGTATTGCACCTTTAAATTTCTAGCTGTCTGCTCTCTGGGGAGGGCAGGGCTTTGTGCATGGAGGGTAGATGCAGCTGGTTACAGAAGAGAGGCACACATTGTACTCTCTCTCTCTCACAGGGTCTTTCAGAAAGAACTAAGATGGAGATCTGGCCCCACCGACTCCAATGGAGCCACACCGATTTATGCCAGTTGGGGCTCTGGCCCTAGGAATATAGGATTCTCCATAATTGCACCGCTCTGGCCTTATATCCCACCTCAAGTGGCAAGCACATCCAGATGGAAGATCATTCTATGCACTGCAGCTTAAGGCACTTTCCCCTGCTCCCCTAGCTGGTGCTGTTGGAGATGTTATTCTTAAATATCTAACCCTATCTTCTTAACTTACGAAGCAATTTACCTTCATAAGATCATGAGGTAGGGAGTCCCACAGGTTAACTACCTGTTGCATATAAAAATATTTACTTTTACCAGGTCGGCATTTAATTTTGTTATGCGCCCCCTGGTGTTTGCATTATAGGGAAGGGACCAAAAGAGTTCTTTCTGAGCGGCAGGCTATTCACGCACACAAAGATGGTGCTCTTTAGAAGCTGTTACTAAGGTTAGGATTACTTGATGCTGATGGCAAACTCGGCCGCGTCCTTGACCCTCTGCCGCACCAGGAATGTGCCGTCTGAACGGTTTGTGAGGATTTGCTCCGCCTCTGCTCTCTCCATAGGTCCCGCGTACCTGCAAGGAGGGACATCCACACAGGAGTTATTACTTGAAGTCTACAATTCAGCCACTAGATGTTGCTGTGGGCTGTATGCCATACCAGCGAGGGTGTGGTTTCCTGGTAAACAATGGAGGCAAATCTGGAACTCAAGCTGGTTTAAGACAGTCTGTGATTTCAGAGAGCATGATGCATAGAAGGCTGGACTCCAGATTAAACAGCAATAAATTATGTAGATGCAGAAATGTTTCAATTCTATAATTTTACTTACCAAAGATAAACAGAAAAATCTGGGGGAGGATTCTGGGGGGGGAAAGAAAAAGGTTTTATTTTCTTGCAGTAAATAAAAGGGAGAAGAAAGAGTTATGTCTGGCCCAGGAGAGCTGATGTCAGCACTCTGTTATTCTGGAGTTTCATTTTGCTCCCAGTGTCATATCACAAATAATTCATTTTTTAAAAAATTATGTATATAACAGAACAAAGAATGGGGCCCCATTGTGCCAGGCATTGCATAGACCTTCCCCAAGATCAGGGCCCTGGGTGCTGCCCAGACACATAGTGAAAGACAGGTCCTGCCCCAGACAGCATGTAAACAAAGAAAGAATGATTATACTCCATTTAAAAATGAGGAGATGAGGTACAAGGAGATGAAGTGACTTGCCCAAGGTCCCTCACAGGCAGTCTGTGGCAGAGCCAAGAATTTCACTCAAATTTTCTGAGCCCCACTCCAACGCCTTACCCACAAAACCCACCCTTTCTTCTGCTGCTAAGCATCCTGGATTGTAGACGGACATCTGCCCTTTGTCCCCAGATCAGATGCAACCCACCCAAACTTGTCTAAGGAATTTAGAGACCCTACAAAAACATCCAGCATCTACCAGCTAATCAAGCAAATGTGAAAGGAGTTGCTACTCACACACACATACGGTTTGACTTTTTGGCATGGGAACCAGCCGATCTCATTCGTGGATGTGTTTCTGCCCTGCAAAGCGGAAGCCAATGCATGTCAGATCTATCGTAAATCGGGTGACCAGATGTCCCAATTTTATAGGGACAGTCCCGATATTTGGGGCTTTTTCTTATATAGGTGTCTATAACCCCCCACCCCTCATCCCGATTTTTCACACTTGCTATCTGGTCACCCTAATCATAAAGAGCTATCATGGCAGAGGCCGAAGGGGCTGCTCTGGGCCTGGTTTGCAGAGGGACTATGGTAGGCTGGAGGTTTAAGCCGAGAGCAGAAATATTTCAATTTGGCTATCTCGCTGTGGTGTTTCTTGGGAATTGTAGTTTGGTTTTCTCGTGCCCCTATTCTCTATGGGCCAGGCTCCCCAGCCAGACTACTTCTCCCAGGATGCACCAGGGTCAGGGCCTCCCATAATACAACCGTCTCCCCTCACCAAGAGGGCAGACTGTGGTGCATCATGGGAGATGTAGTCTGACCAGGAAGCATGGCCTTTTGAAGAGAAATGGGAGCATGAAGCAACCGAACTACAACTCCAACAAGGCACCGGGACTACAGTCCCCCACCATAATATTTCATTTTTTCCCCAAAAAGTTGACCATTTTGCACAGGAAAAAGCCCCCTTTTTCCAACCAACTCTAGCCTGAAGGCCTGAGCCAACCCCCACCGAAGTCAATGGGCATCTTCTCCATGGGCTCCTGTGGGTTTTGGATGAAACCCTGCCCACCTCTTTTCCACTGGCTCCAGTGGGTTTTGGATCAAACCCTGCCTAACACTCAGCATCTCTGATCAGAGCCAGCACTGAGATCAGGGCCCCATTGTGCCAGGTGCTGCACAGACTCCAACTGAGATCAGAGCTCCATCGTGCCAGGAATTAACTGGGAGAAGACAAGGCATGGGTGACCCTGCCAAAGGGGCTATTTATTGCTGCTAAAGCCTGAGGTATAAACACAGAGACACTGAAAGCAGGTTGGACACCACGGCTGCTGGACGGGGCAGACCCAGTGGTTCTCTCTGGCCTTCACTGCCTGGCATCACCACTAAGAGGAGTCTGCCTCCCTCTTGGCCTCATCAGGAAAGTCGAATACAGGGCTCAACAACTGAGCCATGCTCAGAAGCGGCCCAGATCAGTTCTGTTTCATCATTCGGAGCCTGATGCCGCCTGGCCTCCCGAACAACAAGAGGCTAAAGCATGAATTGATTTATGCTGCTCTCCTCTTTGACACCTGATTTTAAAGACACCCCTCCCCACCATCATTTCTTATCATGAGCTACGGTCATCAGCAGGGCTTGGCGGCTGGAATGTCAGCGCTGACAGACCTCTCCCACTTGAGCTAACGTGAGCTCCATTAGCCAGCTGCACTAATTTGCGGTGTCTTGAAAACTGCATTGCACCTGTACGCTATCCCTTTAAACGCTCAAGGGGTGGTGGTGGGGTGTTCCTGGTCCTGCTTATGGGCAGAGAGCTCTGTAGGAAGTTCTGAGATGTGGGCCTAGCAATAGTTAGATTGCAGCCAGCCAGCTTGGAGTAAGCTGGGGTGAGTTATGCCTCAGGGAGAAGCCTGTTTTGTCTCTCTCTGTTTTGGGGTTCTTATGTGTTATCATTCTGGATTCAATTAAATAAAGTTGTGTTACATTGCAACCTTCCAGCAAGAGTATTCTGGGTTTATCTAGTTTCTCGGTTTGTATGCCATGAACATAACAGTAGTCAGACTGTTACCCTCTGGGTGGACCAGCCATCCAAAGGAGATGTCCTCATGTGGCGGAGCCCTGTGGTTTTGGAACCAGAAGTTGCAGCTTCAAGTCCCCACTGACCAAATTTATGTGCAATTCCTCTAGTCCAGCAGTTCCCAAACTGTGGGTCTCAACCCCAAGTGGGGTCACCCCATCAGCGGGTGGGGTTGCAAGTCCGAGTGCGTAGACAAACGAAATCTCAGCAGCGGGTCTAGTGATGTAGTTATGGGGTGGTGGGAATCTGTGGGATTGAACGCTCAGGAACTGCTGTTCTAGTCAGCGTGGATGGCTGCGGAGACACCTACCTCCCACCATAGCTGCTGCGCCTCAGCTTTGGTCAGCTCCACAATGTCCCCCAGGCTGAGTCGCAGCGACGGGCCAAATGCCACGGGTGGCGGGGGCAGCCCGTAATACTCCTGGCAGACCTCCATTTTGGGCAGCCCTAAGGAAACAAGGACATTGGCAAGGAACCGGTCACAGAGCAACCCCATGTATCTCCCTGCAGCAAACGCCTGCCACCCGGCCTTATCTGCGCCCAGCGCTCTTCCCACCCACTACGGGGACACACGTGGACGGCCACATCTTCCTGGTGCGAGGGGGACAGAAAATCCTCCCCATGCTCTACATGGGGGATAGAGGGAAAGCCCTGGGGCAGGCCTCATTTCATAGAATCATAGAATCATAGAATATCAGGGCTGGAAGAGACCTCAGGAGGTCATCTAGTCCAACCCCCTGCTCAAAGCAGGACCAATCCCCAATTTTTGCCCCAGGTCCCTAAATGGCCCCCTCAAGGATTGAACTCACAGCCCTGGGTTTAGCAGGCCAATGGTCAAATCACTGAGCTATCCCTCTCCCCATTTGCCCCTCCAGGACAGGGATTCTGCATGCAGTAAGGTGTATTTTAAGGGCTTATTGTCTCCTGAACCCTCGTCCACCCAGAGCTCCCATGAGCCAGTGGGGCTTTCCTGCAGGTGCCCTGAATTTAAGCTGGAGCTCAGCATCCCAGCACAGATCAGGGATCCAGCTAGTCCGGTGTCCAGCCTGTGGGAATGGTAGCTCAGTTACCACATGTCCTCCTCTATGGGGCAAGCTCCCCAGCCGGACTGCATCTCCCATGATGCACTACAGCTTCAGAGGGATGTGGTTATAGTATTCCAGTCCCCCACAGTACAGCAGATCTAGCAGAACTTAAAGGGGGGTCCTTTATTGAGGCATTAGACCCAGAGCAGACCCTCGGCTTTCTCCAGGCTGCAGTGCCTGGTGTCACCAACAGGGGTCTCCATCACACCAGGCCTAATCAGGACTGCTGATTACAAGAAAGGAAATTCCTTCCTGACCCCCCTGCCTGCCCTGAAGCATGAGAGTGGGTGCCTGCCACAGGACTTACCAAGGTCGTTCTTCTTTCTCTCCTGGGTGTGTCGGTTGGATTTGTTCTGCAGAGGGAAGACAAGGATCCTGGCTCAGATAAGGAGGATGTGTGGGATCTGTCTGAAGTTCAGCAGGCACAGACCCTGCTATAAATCAGCAGGGGGTGTAGTATTATGAGCAGAACTGGAGTAAGAGGGTGGGGCTTGAGGAGGGACTTAGGCCAGTGTGGTACTAGGGGAGGGCTCAGCAAGGCAAATATAACAACCCCCCATGTGGTACTTAATCCCCTTCTAATGGTAATTGAGCCATAGACAGAGGCTGATGAGCCTGCTGCTAGGTCAGGTTTTAGACCCAAAGGTCCCAGGTTTGATGCCCATTCGTGGTGACTCCCCCAGCAACATCATATAAGCTGGGACCAAGCTCCTTTGCGCCCAGTCTCTAGACCCTCAGCATATAAAGATCTCCCTTGTCCCACATCACTTATTGCTAAGAACCATGGGTAGGGCTCTGTGATCTCCTGATGCTGCCATTTAGGCTGTGACTAGGGTTGATCCGAAACATTTTCCATTTGGGGTTTTTCTGAGAAACACCATTTTTTCACGAAAAGTGTCGGCTTTCTGCAGAAAAATGGCTAATTTTTCATCAAAAAATCCCCCAAAGGCCTGAAAATTTCCATATGCTGCCCCAGTGCCTCCTGGGAGTTGTAGTTCAGTGGCCCCGTACCCCGTGCCCCGTGCCCCCGTTTTCTGGCTCCCTGGCTGGATTACATCTCCCGTGTGCTCTCCCCCATCAGCCAGAAGGCCTGGCTCTATGCTCACTGACACTGGAGCATCACAGGTGTAAAATAAGGCGTGGGTGAGCGAGAAATTAGGTGCAACATCTTTCTGATAAACAGTATGAGGAGCTGGAAATGGCCCACCTTGATTATCATACACATTGTAAGGAGAGTGATCACTTTACATAAGCTATTACCAGCAGGAGAGTGCGGTAGGGGGAGAGAAAACCTTTTGTAGTGATAAACACCCATTTTTTTATGGTTTGTGTGTATAAAAACATGTTCTGTATTTTCCACAGTATGCATCCAATGAAGTGAGCTGTAGCTCACGAAAGCTTATGCTCAAATAAATTGGTTAGTCTCTAAGGTGCCACAAGTCCTCCTTTTCTTTTTAGTATGAGGAGAGAAAGCCAGGCAGCAAATGAGCTGAGGTGAAGGGAACCTTGATTAAAAGTTAGTGGTGCTTCAAGGGGCAGTATTGCCCAGCGGATGGAGCACTGGACTGGGACTCAAGAGACCTGCCTTCTATTTCCAACTCTGACTTGTGTGATCCTGGCCAAATCCCCTCCCCTCTCCAGGCCTCAGTTTCCAAACCCTCCTACTTAATTATTATTCGTATTTATTAGGTGTCTCACGGTACGCCTAGGACTCCGTTGTGCAAGGCGCTGTACAGACACAGAACAAAAAGACAGTCCCAGCCTCTTGCTAGGCGCTTTTCGGAGCCCAGCACAGTAAAAGTCTCAATCTCAGCTGGGGCTTCTAGCTCCTATCACAATACAACTACTAAATCCACCCCCCAGATGAGAATGTTTTCTCCCTAAGAGATTTAAGGTTGTTCGGGGTTGGTTTGTTTGTTTACCTTTTTCATCGTAGACCCATAATCTGGATTAAACAGAAAAGGGGGAAACGATTACTCAGTTAGTTGCGAAATCTCATCCTGCGAGTTCTCAGACTGAATTAAAGCAGAATTGTATTTCTGGTTGTGGGTGACCAGTATGTGCCAGGGAGGTTGGGATAGAAAACCCACCTCCTGTCCCACGTGATGCCCCTTTGTCCCCCCACTGGCACCTCAGCAGCACGTGGCCGAAGCGCAGATGGTGATACAGAGCAGCAGCAGTGAAGGGGTTAACTCGTGCCCGTAGGCCGACCCTTTCCTTCCTCTGCTCTTGTATTCAGCCACTTGCAACTGCAGCCTCCTCAGATGTATCCCAGAATCCTTTGTGCTGCCATACCCCAGCTGCATCCCAGAATCCCTTGCACCATTTTGCGCATCCCTTGCATGACTTTGTCCAGCTGCATCCCAGAATCTCTTGCACCTCATGGCCTAGATGCATCTCAGAATTCCTTGTCCCAATTTGTCCCAACTGCATCCCACAATCCCTTGCAACACTTGGCCCAGATGCATCCCAGAATGCATTGCACTTCACGGCCTAGAAGCATCCCACAATCTCTTGCCCCCAACCCTTCTGATAAGACGCTCTGGGAATCAGCTGATTAGTTTCCGGGTTGTCCTAAGGAGGGCTGGCCTCAGGCAGGCTCAGGTAGCAGGAACGGAGTTGTACCTCCCGCCAACGCTGCTGACCTGGGCTGGGCACAGACACGTACCTGAGCTCGACTTCCCGCAGGGGGCTACCCGGCCCAGACACTCCTTGTGAGCCGGGGCTTTGCATCGGCTGCAGCGATAGCCCTGGTAGAACGTGCCTCTGTTCCCACCGCCAAGAGAGAGAACATGTGTGTTAGAGTCACCGTGGTAAATCGGGGCTTGACGTCATCCCGCCACACCCTCCTGCCCTGCCCTATTAACCCCTACCTCCCCATGCCCCATTCCCAGCTCAGCCCTGCCCCACAAATTAACCCCAAGCACGGGAACGGCCAATCTCAGGAGACGCCTTAGCTGGGAGCAGTAGTACAGATCAGTGGCTGGCATGGGCATCGCACATGGATCCAGGCAGCGCCTACCTGAGCAGCATCTGGCAGGATTTGCAGGACGCATTCTCCTCGAAGGAGTACATGTGGAAGTCGTGGCCATTGGACGTGGCGTTCTCGGGGTAGATATTGGAGCTACGGGAATCAGGAGAGAGAGACAGACCGAGTTATGCTTATGATTATTATGATTATGATTGTTATTTATTAGGTGTATTACGGTAGCACCTAGGCGTCCCAGTCATTGGCCAGCTCCCCTTCGTGCTCGGCACTGAATATTACGGTAGCACCCAGGAGCACTTCGTCCCCTCGTTCTGATGGAGCCGGCGCGCTGAAAATAGCAGTGTAGCCGAGGTGGGGTGAGGAGCGGGACGAGCTGGCCACCCTGAGGACGAGCCTACAGGCTTGGACGGGATCATACTCAGGGCGGCTAGTCCCGCCTGCCGTTTGCACCCCCACAGCTACACTTCCATTTTTAGTGCAAGGCTTGAACAGATCTAGCACAGGTATGTCTGCTCGGGCTGGAAATTACAGCCGCAGTTCAGATCGTAGATTTACCCTATGTGTCTGTGCAGCGCCTGGCACAACGGGGCCCTGATCCCAGCTGGGGCAGGGACCGTCTCTCGCTGTGTCCATGCAGCACCTGGCACAACAAGGCCCTGATCCCAGCTGGGGCAGGGACCGTCTCTCGCTGTGTCCATGCAGCACCTGGCACAACAGGGCCCTGATCCTCATCAGAACCTCTGGCCACTGCCACTTTACCACTAATAATCTAGCGAGCAACAACCAACCGAGGGGAGAGGGGGGCAGGACATGGCAGAGAAGTTTCAGAGAAGGGCTGGGACAGTTTTTTGACACCGAATCTGGGGAGATTCAGTGGGGAATGATGGGAGTGAGGGTGTGTGGGGTGGAGGGGGACGTACATGGACATTTCAAACTGCTCCATCCACTTCTTCTTCAGCTCTCGCGTCTTGAAGAAGAGCTCGTAACCCTGGGTCCCGTAACAACAGATCAGGTGGAACATGTGAGTCCACTGGAAAAGACAAGTGCACGGATGTTTAACAGTCCCCCTGGAACTCATGGGCAGTGGGGGGGGGGTCCCACCTTCCCAGTAACTGCATATCAGACAAGGGGACTCAAAGAGAGACGTGAAACCACACTCCCGCCCACCAGCAGCAGACAGGGGCAGTGCGGACTAGAAATTAGAGCAAGGGAGTGGGGAGCCAGGATGCCAGGGGTCTATTCCCAGCTTTGGAAGGGGAGAGAAGTCTAGTGATTACAGCTAGGGAAGCAGGAGTTGGACTACCAGGGTTCTACAACTGGCTTTTGGAAGGAGCGTTGACTAGTAGTTAGAGCAGGGTGTGCGTGGAAGCCAGGACTCCTGGGTTCTTTTCCTGGCTGTTGGGAAGAGTGTGCCCAGTAGTCGAAGCAGGGGGACTGGCAGCTAGGATGACTGGGTTCTATTCCTGGCTGATGGGAGGAATGTGCCCAGGGTTAGAGCAGAGGGACTAGGCATGGGAGTTATTTTGCTGACTCTCCCTGGCAGCCAGAACTGGCAGGTCTCATTAGCTCCAACCCAGGACAGAAAAGGGTTGAGCCAGGGGGAAGAGGAGCTAGCACAGGGCCAAATACTGGGATCAGCCAAGCTAAGGAGACGCCTTGGGACGAAGACTGTGTGGAAATGGTGCAGACTCTGTATGTGTGTGGTCGCTGCCCCCTACTGGGGGGAAATACCTGCTCTGAGTAAGTGTGGGTATGGATGTGCAGGATGGAGTGCACACATGTTGTGTTAGCAGGGTGGGAGAGGCTCCAGCTCACACACACACACTCATCCCGCAGCGTTACCTTCTTATTGTCCTTTTCTCCTGAGGAGTCATCCCGGATCTGGTAAGTATGGAGGTCGATGAAATCCCTCATCTCGTAGGAGTCCCCTTTTCTCTTGCAAATGAGCAGGGCTTGGTCCAGAAGGAAGGCATACCTGCAAGGAACAGGCCCCAACACGGAGAAGGATGCAGACAGAACCTGGGACAGATGAACCACCGACGGGCCGGGGGCGGGAGGAACGCACATCTGGCTTATATGAGCCCCAAGACTTGAGCCCTGCTCCTGGGAGGCCGTACACTTAAGCCAGGTCTACATGCAAAAATTACGTCGACCCAGCTATGTCACTCCGGGGTGTGAAACATCCACACCCCTGAGCGACGAAGTTAAGCTGATCTAAACCCCAGTGCAGACAGCACTAGGTTGCTGAGAGAATTCGTCCATCAGCCCAGCTACTGACTCTTCGGGAAGTGGATTAGCTGTGGCGATAGGAGAACCCCTCCGGTGATTGTCTGCACAGAAACGCTGGCTGTTCTCTGGCTTTTCTCTAAGATGTTCTCCAACCTTTGTTATTCTCTGGACCTCAGGATGACACTATTAAGGACCGTATCTGCTCTAGATCCCCCTACCGCCCCAGAGCTTGATCTTGAAATAGGCAGAGGGGAGGCGGTTCAAGACAGCAAATTATTTTAATTTCGTTTTAGTTGCAGGAAGTGTCCTTAAAAAAATCAATTTTGGTTTTATCAAAATTTCCTGTCCCCCCACCCCAAAACTGTGGCCCCAAAACCCCAACCAACCCAAATCTGGTTTTCCAGTTGAAATTGTCGATACAAAGGATTTCTGAAAAAAACATTCATTTTTGTAGGAATCATTTTGTCCAGCAAGGGCATTTCCCCACCACCCCATTTGTTTTCAATGAAAAGCTGGTTTTTGTTGTTGAAATTGAAAAGAACCCAACCAACCCTGCCAGGAAAGGCCAGATTTTGAATGGCAGTAAGACACGCTATCCCTTGAAAACCCTGGTGCTAAAACCCCAGTTCAGGACAGCACTTAAACATGTGTGTAAGTGCCCTTCCTGAAAAGGGACGTGCTCCTGAGTGGATGCCGGATGCATGCGCTGAATTCTAAGTGCGTGAGCAGACAGTGTGACTTAAAGCTCAGTGTGTACTTAAATGGGGGCCCAGAGCTCTTAGCATCTTGCAGGCTGGAGCCCCACTCTGTCGGTCGCAGAGATGGCTGCCATGGGCCATGGCCTGAGAACCGCTGTCCCAGACACTTGTTATGTGATCAGATGCATCGTGGTCCCTTCTGCTGAAAGTCAGCAGCCTAAGAGCAATGGGATGAGCCCTGGAGTTGGCCCCACAACTCAAGGAGGTAAAAGAGTTTGTAATCTACTTGTAGGACCTTAAGTCAAGATGGCAAACCTTCCATCACGTCGGGGGTTTATTGATCATATCTGTGCTGCATGGACAAGCCCTCCACCATCGATTCAGCCCCCACTCCCACCTAAGCGACATGCCCACGGTCACCCAGCAGGCCGGTGACAGAGCCGGTAGACCCAGGTCTCCAGTCCAGTGCTCTGTCCACTAGGCCGCGCTGCCAACACTCAAAGCCGCACAGCTCAGCTCTCTGCCTGCCCTCACCTGTCCGTCTTGGAGCGTTTCTCAGTGCTGGTGACCTTTAGCTCCCCGTCAATCTTCGGCCTCCCATACTGAGCCAGGGACCGTGACTAAAAGGAGAAGGGGGACAGAAAACCAAACCCGTTTACAGGAATTCAGTCTGAGACAAAAGGAACCAGCAGGCTGAACAGATGCCATATACCTCCCTAATGGCTGGCCCAAAGATGGTAAGAGTCTACGACTGCTACTGGATGATGGAGCAACTCTTATAGCTACAGTGGGAAAACCTCTGTGCTTGGTCCTGGGTTCACTCCATGGGAGGCCATATTAGGCTGCACAAGGTTCCTAGAGCTGTACAAAGGGTGGTAGCGAGAATGCTGGGAAATACCACAGTGACCAGGAGGAGCCAGGAAAGGGAACTGGTCTAGACAGGAGCAGTTCTAACAAAGGCCAGCCAGCAGGAAGCTGTTGAGTGTGTATAACATGCACTCAGGTTTGTATTGTATATACGTATTCCAGGGGAGAGGCGAAGAGTGACACAGGCAGCTGGGGAAAAAATAATTTCATGGCACTTGTTTGAAATAATTAGTTCATTAAAGAGAACGCACAAATGAAAAGAACTGAATGAAAGAACAACAAAAAATGAAAGGAAAAGCATAAACTAGTGAAAATGAATGAAAAAGAATGAAAGAGGGGAAACGAATGAATCAGTGAATGAAAGAACCAACCAACAGGTGAATGAATGAAAAAAAGAACAAATGAGTAAAAGAAAATGAATTAAAGAACAAAAAAAAAGAAAAAGAGGAAGAATGATCGACCGAACAAATGAATAAAGGAGCGAACAAAAGGTTGAGAGAGGAAAAATGAATGAACAAGTAAAGGAGTGAATAAATACAGGAGTGAACGAATGCAAGATTGAAAGAGGAAGAATGAACGAATAAAGGAATGAACAGATAAAGGAGCGAATGTGAAACATGGTGGAGGAAGAATGAATGAATGAATGAATGAATGCAGGAAGAAATAAATGGAGGAATAAATAAATGAAAGAGGAAAAATGAAGGAATGAATGAAGGAACAAAGAAACAGACAAGGAAGAAAGGAAAAAGAAAGACAGAGACCGACGGAAGCAGCAAAGGCAGCCAGGCCAGGTGACAGTAGGTGTGGCCCAGGGACTCACCAGTTTCTCTATGGAGAGCTGGAAGTTGGTGATCTGTTTCAGGGTCTCGTTGTCTCTCTTGATCTCGTTCACGCACTGTGCCAGGTCCTAAGGGATGGGGGGGACACAACGAGCCCTTGGTCAGCACCAGCCGTGCTTGGGAATGTGATCCATGGCTGGGTTTTCCCTTCAGGGTCCCCAGGGCATTCTCTGCTGGGGGGAATGGCCGTCTGATGTCTGACTATCAAAAAGGGCAGTTTCCTTGGGGCAGAGTGACATCCCTTGCTAGCAAAGGGGGCGCCAGACCCCCTCCATTACTGCTCTGCCCCGCCGCCACCCAATAGGGTGTACTGAATAGCCCCAGCCCAGCACCCCAGTAGCAGCCCCCCACACTCCCTCTCCGGCCCCAGCCTCCCCACCCCACAAACCCCCCCACTCTGCAGCCCCCCCACCCACAAACCCCCACCACAGTAGCACAAGCCCCCCCACCACTCCCCTCAGCACCATCCTCCCCACCTCACGAGCCCCTGCACTTGGCACCACTTCCTCCACTCCCAGCCCATTGCACCAACCGCAAAGTAGTCACCGGATATTTCCTGCAGTGTATTTACACGGTGTTTATTCTCATGTATTTGTTTAGGGTGAGCAGATTTTTTTGAATTTTCACTGAGACTATGAACTTTTTTTTTTAATCGATTTTTGTAGATTTAAATTTTCACAGTTGCGCGAATTTACGGGTTTTAAGCATTTTTTTCCCCCCTATTTTTATTAGTCGAAATGTTCACACTTCGGGATAATTATGAGGTGCTCAGGTGATGCACTGACAGCGGATTCAAAACCTGTGAACATCACACGTCACGTACACAAAGTAAAGACCCTCCAATCAACAAATCACCCCTGTTTTCACGAGTCATTTGCTAGTCCGGTGGTTCTCAACCGGGGGTCCGTAGCCCCCTCGGGGTCCACAAGCCCTTTCAGGGGGGGCTGCAGAACCCCGCCGCTGAAACCCAGTGCCCCGCGCCCTGGCACCCCCTGCAGGGCTGAAGCGTTGAGGGGGCACAAGGGTGCTGCTCCCCAAACTGCAGTGCCTTACCCAGAGTGGAGTAGTTCTGGGGGCAGCTCCATCCCCCCACCCCCTCCTCTCCCTCAGCCCCCCTCAGCCCCCAGCCCCCCGGCCAGATCCTAGGCAGGAAGACAGAGCCAGGTAGTGCGAGGCAGCTGCTCTCTGGCTGGTGGTGCCAGGGAGTGGGCAGCGGTGGCATCCCCCCATCTGCCCCTGGTGCCTGGGGTTGCGTCTGCTCCTCAGCTCCCAGCCTCCTTTGACTGCTCACGCAGATGGTCAGAGCTGCCCAGGCAGTTCCAGGCCCAGCAGAGCCCTTGGGGAGTAGCCACGGGCTACAGCCCCAGACAGGTGGGTGGCCTGATGAGGTGAGTCACGGGGTGGAGATGGTGCTCCCTCCCCAGACCCCGCTGTGCAGAGCTGGCCCGAGCCCTGACGGCCCTTCCCCCTCTGTGTCCCCCCCCAATAGAAGTCAAACTGCGGCTGTGCCCCAGGGTCCCGGGCCCGGAGCCCCCCCCCCACCCCACCCTGGCTGGGCCCCGGCATTTTTCTAGCATGTTGAGGGGGCCTCAGAAAGAAAAAGTTTGAGAACCCCTGCGCTAGTCCACTTGTAACACACCTAACTCAAAAGTCTAAGTCCCTGGATTTGGACTCTAATAAGGTCTCAACTGGCATTCTTCTTACTTTGCCTACCTCTAAATGTCGATTATCATCAGTGGAAATATTTTTGTTGGTTTGTGTGTGTGCGGTGAAATCGATGCTTACCAACATTTACGATAAAAATCAAATACTTCCAAGCCTTATTAATTAATTTATTATATTACCTCAGGAGCGGCGGAGGTAAGTGCCCTAAAAGCGGGGGGCCACAGGCACCCGAACCGTGGCCCCGCACTCCTGTGCCCCATCACCCCCCCCCAGCCCTGCCCCCACACTGCCCCTTCTCCCCAAGGCGTCCCCCCCGCCTCTTCCCCAGAGCCTCTGCTTCCACACTGCCTCTTCCCTGCAGTGACCCAGCCCCCCGCTCGCTCCTCTTCGCCCCCCCATCACTTGCCCTTACAGCCAGTGAAAAGTGGGGGGCCATGACCCCCTGGTCCCCCCCATTCTGGTGCCCCTGTATATTATATTATATTATATTATATTATATTATATTATATTTAAGGTGTGTCTACGCTTAAACATTTTCAGAAGTAGCTATTCCGGAATAAATCCACTTCCAAAGTGCATTAAGCTAAATTGGAAAAGGCATTCATCTTCCAGAATAAGAGTATCCACACTGGGATTTATGCCAAAAGAACTATTCTGGAATAGTGAAATTATTATTAATTATTATTACAATTATTTATTATTATTATTGTTTTTATTATATTTTATCATTATTCCAGAAGAGCTATTTATAATTATTACTATGATGTCATTTATTTAATAATTATTCCAGAGTAGCTACTTATAATTATTATTTTCATTACTATGTTTATTTTATTGGTATAAATAATTATTCTGGAATCGATTTTTTTATTATTACTCCATTTTAAAATAATTATCCTAGAATTTTGTTATTAGGTAATTATTCCAGAATAAGCTATTTCGGTCCATTTCCATGTCTCCACAAGCCCTCGAGTCACTGAGATGTTCCGAATCAAAATTTTTCAGCATTTCCATTCTCAGGAAAATTTCAGGCTCAGGGCGATGGTCCCCATCCCCCTCTCCCTCCCCCATACTTGCAGTGTCAGAATTTCCCCTGGGAGGAAAGTCCCCCTTCCACCCAGCCTTACACAGGAACTTTCCTACCCTCACCCCCCAAGCATAAGCCCCTCTGATGCGCACACCCACCCACCAGGCCCCGGAGCGTTTTGCGACCAAAACACTGAGAGACCCTCACGACCATCCCGAAAGTTGGCGGCACCCAAGAGACGGAGAGCCGGCCTCACCCGCATGGCATCCAGCGCCAGCCGCAAGTTCTCCTTTTCTGTCGGCTCCACCGTATGTTTCACCAGCTCCTGAAGAGAGGAAATTAACTGGGATGGATTTGACTGACTCAAAGGCATTTCTGGCTCCTCCAGCAGAGGATTCCAGGGTTCCCCAGCTCCCCAGAGCGAAGCATCGTGGGGCAGAGCCAGGAACCCATATAGTGCTGGGCGCTGTATGTGATTTATTAGGGGTATTACGGTAGCACCTAGGTGCCCCAGTCATGGCTCAGGACCCCTCAAAGAGAACATAAAGACGGCTCCTTCCCCAAAGAGCAGACTTCCTAGTCTGAAGATGACCCCAGGCTTCGATGGAAGAGCTGGCCAGACCCAGCTGGCACTGATGGGGATTATATCATGCCGGAAACCTATAGGGCTTTCTTTCTGATAGTGGTCATTGTTCTGCCTATTTTATAGAGAGAAACTGAGGCACTGAGCAGGGAAAGGACTTGCCTATGGTCACACAGCAGGCCAACGGCACAGCCAGGAATAGAACCCAGGAGTCTTGATCCCCAGCCTACCCCCTGCTTTAGCCCACAAGACCCCACTCCACTCCCTGAGCTGAAAATAGAACCCTGACTGCCAACCTGTGACCCTTCTGCACAGACTACCCCCACCTCCCCTTGACCAGGGCCTTTCGTGCCCACCCCCAGCTTCCCGCCAAGGGTCTGTACCTGCAGAAGCAGATGGTATTTCAGCACCCGTTGCATGGGCACCATCAGCAGGTCACGCAGGGTGAAGCGCCCATTGTTGGCTCGTTGGGAGCATTCCTGCACGACAAGAAGGGGCATTGGCGGGGGAAATGTCCAGTGTGCTGAGGGCTGGCCAGAAGGTCCCTCAGAGACTAGGGCCAGTCCTATGCGATGGGACACCCATAGGGCCCCAGCTAGCTCCTGACTGAGCCAGGACTATGGAACCCATCCACCCCTGTGACCCCATGGCACCTCCTGCCATGCCCTCTGAACCCCCTGACCCTGGCACCTCCTGCCATGTTCTCTGAGCCCCCCGACCCCATGGCACCTCCTGCCGTGCCCTCTGAACCCCCCTGGCCCCATGGCACCTCCTGCCATGGCCTCTGAACCCCCTGACCCTGGCACCTCCTGCCATGTTCTCTGAGCCCCCCGACCCCATGGCACCTCCTGCTGTGCCCTCTGAACCCCCCTGGCTCAATGGCACCTCCTGCCATGTTCTCTGAGCCCCCCAACCCCATGGCACCTCCTGCCACGTTCTCTGAACCCCCCAACCCTGGCACCTCCTGCCGTGCTCTCTGAACCCCCCTGACCCCATGGCACCTCCTGCTGTGCCATCTGAACCTCCCAAACCTGGCACCTCCTGCTGTGCCCTCTGAACCCCCCTGACCCCATGGCACCTCCTGATGTGCCCTCTGAACCCCCTGACCCTGGCACCTCTGCCATGTCCTCTGATGTCCCCAGCCCATTCCTGCTTAGGGGGTTCCCGTTAGCACGGAGGGATGTGTGGGGGGTGGGGCTGTTGTTAGAGGATGGATGGGGAGGGGGGAGTGGCTAGGATGATTCAGAACCATGGCCCTGACCTCCAGCTTCATCCTCACGTCCATGCTGGCACCAGCCACTTGGTCCAGACACCGGCTGGCTGCTTCCACCTGACTGCAGTATCTGCCATAGAGCAGGAACCTGGGAGGGCAAAAGGAAGTATGGCCATGAGCCGGGTGAGGGGAGGGAGAGCTGGCCCTGGCCTAGTCTGGAAAGGACCCTGGGCTTGTCTTCTTCCCGTCTCCACTCATAGCCAAGGGGAGAAATAGAAAGGTGGGAACTCGGGAAAGAGGTGCTGGGAGCCCCGTATCATGGGAATGGAGAGTGGGGAACACTGATACCATCTGTGCCCTGACTCCCTTGTCCCTCCTCTGCTCTCCACGTGCGAAGAGAGCGCCCACAAGGTGGGCTTAGTTTTCTTGCTCGGCTGGGGGGGTGCCATGTGGGCAGGGAATACAGAAGTGGGGTGAGGGGGTGGACAGAAGGGGACATCTCCACGGATTCTTCTAGACACTGAGCTCTCAGGGCAGGAAGGAGAAAGGGGAACCGACCCTCCCCCCAGCAAGGGGGTCTGGGTCGAGGGAGACGGGGAAGAACATGTGGCTATGGAGCATACCCAAGTGACCCCACTAGGGGAAGCTCCTCCACCCCTTCCCAGGGGTTCTTCTCCCCACCATCACCTTTCCAGACAATCCTCACCTTTCCTTGTACTTGATAAAGACCTGGTAGAGGTTCTGGGCGTTGCTGAAGGACAGGACGTTCTTCAGGTCATCCAAAAAGAATCGATGCACCTTCACGAGGTCCTGGGAGAGTGTTGGGGGGGAGGTGGGGGGAAATCAGCTCAGAGCCACTCAACCTGCTACAACTAGCTCAGTCACCAGCTATGGGCTGTACAGAAACATCACGTGCACCACAAGTCTCATGCTGGAGGCCCAGGGGAGGCGGACTTAGATCTAGACCCCAAGATTAGACTGTGGAACCCACTAGGACATGGGCTTCCTGGGCTAACAGCTGATGTGAAATTTGCCCAGTCCCCACTTATAGAGCAGGAACCCATTGTACTGGGTGCTGTACACACACAGAACAAAAATATCAGTGGGGCCAGATCCCCGGCGGGTGCAAATGGGTGTGGCCCCACTGAAGTCAATGGGCCAGACCCCCCAGTTGTGTTAATGAGATCCCCTGGTTGTAACAATCAGGCCTCACTCCTATCCAGGACCAGAAAGAGAATCCAGGAGTCCTGACAAACAATCCATCTTGATCTAACCAATAGACCCACAGCAAGGAATAGAACCCAGGAGTCCTGACTACCAATCCTTCTTGATCTAACCCCTAGACCAGACTCCTTCCTAGAGCCAGGAATAGAACCCACGAGTTCTGACTACTAAGCTGGCTCACCCTAACCAGTAAGCCACACTCCCCTACCAGAGCCTTTCAGTTCTAGGAACCTACCCATGACCTACTGCAGGAGACAGTGTGACATTCATAACTACCCCTGCATGGATTGCCAATGAAATTTGGATCCAGCTAAAAGAGCAACTCCATTAGCTGGTAGCAGTAGCAGGTTGTTATACACTTTGTGGAACAGCCACTAGAATGTGGGGATATATAGCACATACTGAACTTCTGAGTCACACAGTCCCCTAAACAGGGAAGGTGAATTGATGGGTGGTATTTAGCCCGGGTTTCCAGGATGGAGCTCAGTTTGAGTCAGGAGAGGTACATGAAGAAGAGAGTAACTTACCTCGATGTTGATGAAAATGTTCTCCATGTCCTCCAGCTTTAGAAATCTCTGCAGGGGCTTCATAAAGTGCTGCAAACACACAACGGGGAGTTGTCAAACAGGGCAGACCTGTCTGAATCACACGGCTTGGGGCCAGATTCCACAGACAAACCCTGGCTGGATTTTCATGGAACATACCCAAGGGAGCGAGATTGGGTAGTGGGAAAGGAAATAGCATTGTCATTTAAAGGGACCACCCTCCTGGAGAGGGTAAAACATGCACCTCTGTGATTCAGGGGTTCAAGGTCAAATGTGTACGCTAAAGGTTGAAGGTTAAAGTAATCCAGGACTTAAAGCTTCACTCAATCTAAAGTTAAAGTGAGCTCAATCCATTTAGCTTAACAAAGAGAAGGTTAAGGGGTGATGTGATTATGGCCAATAAGTACTGACATGGGAAACAAATATTAGATAACGGGCTCTTCTGTCAAGCAGAGAAAGGTCTAACATGATCCAATGGCTGGAAGTTGAAGCTAGACAAATTCAGACTGGAAACAAGGCGTAAACTTTTAACGGGGAGGGTAATTAACCATTGAAACAATTGACCAAGAGTTGTGGTGGATTCTCCCATCACTTTTTAAATCAAAATTGGATGTTTTTGTAAAAGATCTACTCTAGGAATTATTTTTGAGGAAGTTCTTTGGCCTGTGTCATTCAGGAGGTCAGACTAGATGATCACCATGGGCCTTTGTAGGCTTGGAATCATTCTATGTCTCTATGCTTGAAGGTTAAAGTGATCCAGGAGTTAAAGGTTGGTCCAAATTTTTCTGTTGAAATTTTTTGGATGGAAAATTGGAGCGTTGACATTTTCACGGAAAGCGTCTGCCTTCCTCCAACATTTTTGATTTTTCTTTTTTGGGTCAGAAAACTGAAAAACGTCCAGCTTTGGACCAAATCTCTTAGAGGTGGTTTCGTTTCTTTTCATTTTTTCATCAAAAACATTTCAGGTTTTTGATGTAAAATCAAAATTGGTCACTGAAAACTGTGTTCTCAATTAAATGTTTTGCAGAACCTCCGGCATTTTTCTACCGGCTCTAGGGGAAAGCTCCTCTTCTCCTTAGGTACGGTGAGAACTAGCGGACTCATCCCCCATGGTGGGGAGGTTGTCTCTGGGGACTGAACCTGCAGCATCTGGAGCTAAAAGCTGGTCGTTCTGTTGCTTGAGCTGTAGGTGGTAGAATGCTTTTACACGGCTACATATGGTGTAGTCACTAAAGGGCTAGGAAGGGCTATACACTCTGCAGTCACTGCCTCAAGTAGCACCACGGTGACCTTTGCCCACATGGGCTCTGACCCTCTTTCATGCCAACCTGGCCTTTTCAAGGGTGTCCCCCCAGCTCCTGCCGCCCACACAGCCCTCCCATTAAAGGGGCAGGGGAAGCCAAACTGAGATGAGCCCCTTGTTCACCATGTCATAAAATCATAGAATCATAGACTATCAGGGTTGGAAGGGACCTCAGGAGGTTCTCGTCCAACCCCCTGCTCAAAGCAGGACCTAATCCCCAACTAAATCATCCCAGCCATACCTCTGACTATGTCACAGGGGGAATGGTCTACACCCCCAGTGGGCCGAGTGGCCAGCAGAGATGGCAGGACTGGTGGGCCGCCCACCTGCCATACCTGGTAGATTGATTCTAATGTGTCTGTGTATTTCTCCTCCGTCTGTTTGATTTCTTGAAGGCAGCAGTTCCGCTTATCCAGCTCTGTCATCTTCTGTTGCAGGAAGACACAGTGCAGATACCTGCCATTCAGTAACCTTAACCGCTGGGGCCAGATGCCCAGCTGGAGACCCACAGCCCTCCCCAAGCTCGTAATCGAACCCAGGGGTCCAGACTCAAAGCCCCCTCTACTCTAACCGCTAGACTCCAGCTCTCTTCCCAAGCTGGGAACAAAGCCCAGGAGTGCTGACTCCCACTCCTCTCTGCTCTACCCCCTAGGCTCCACTCCCCTTCCAGAGCTGGGAATGGAACCCAGGAGTCCTGACTGCCATCCCCTCCTCCTCCTCTAACCTCTACATCCTACTCCTCTACCAGAGCTGGGAACAGAACCCAGAAGTCCTGACTCCCAGCCCTTGGTCTGACCACTAGCTCACATTCCCCTCCCCAGAGAATGAAACCCAGGAGTCCTAGAATATCTCCACATGCTGAATACCTCGAGCCACCTTCGGGGTACATCCCACTCCAGCAGCAGGGACTCAGAAACGTACCCTTCCTGTTACTTACTGGCATGACAACCGGCTCCGACCTCATCAGGTCTTCGTAGATTTCATCTCCTTCGGCCTCCTCATTCTCCACGCAGTCGTACAGGTCGTCATCTTCCTCCACCGTGTCACTGGGGAGTTGAGAGCGAGAAGGAAGCTCAGTGCCCTGCACCGGGTCTGACCCCTTATCTTGCAGAACAGTCCAGATGTTCCAACTCACAGGCCAAAATTCAATATTTAGGCACCTAAATAAGTGGTCTGATTCTCAGAAGTGATGAGCTCCCCCAAGGGTTCCTCAGCACCCAATGATTAAAATCTGTACAGACCCCAACTGAGATCAGGGCCCCATTGTGCCAGGTGCTGCACAGACCTGGACGGCGATCAGGGCCCCCATTGTGCCAGGTGTTGCTAGGGTTGCCAGGTGTCCGGATTTTGACCAGAACACCTGGTCAAAAAGGGACCCTGGCAGCTCAGGTCAGCACCACTGACCAGGCCATTAAAGGTCCGGTTGGCAGGGCTGGCAGGCTTCTTACCTTGCTTCGCGCATGTCCCTATGGTCCCTAGACGTAGGGTCTGCCAGGGGGGCTCTGTGTGGTGCCCCCCCCCCCGTGCCAGCTCCTCAGCTCCCGTTGGCCGGGAACTGCGGCCAATGGGAGCTGTGGGAGCAGCACCTGCGGTGGACGGGGGCAGTGCATAAAGCCGCCTGGCCGCACCTCCACCTAGGAGCCGAGGGACATGTAGCCACTTCTGGGAGTCACCTGAGGTGAGCACCACCTGAAGCCCGCACCCCTTACCCCCTCCCACACCCCAATCCCCTGCCCCAGCCCCGAGCCCCCTCCTGCACCCAAACTTCCTCCTGGAGCCTGCACCCCGCACCCCCTCCCGCACTTCAACCCACTGCCCCAGCTCAGAGCCCGCTCCCGCACCCCAAACCCCTCATCCCTGGCCCCACCCCAAAGCCCACACTCCCAGCCAGAGTCTACACCTCCTCCTGCACCCTAGCCCGAAGCCCCCTCCTGCACCCTGAACCCCTCATCCCTGGCCCCACCCCAAAGCCCACACTCCCAGCCAGAGTCTACACCTCCTCCTGCACCCTAGCCCGAAGCCCCCTCCCGCACCCCAAACCCCTCATCCCTGGCCCCACCCCAAAGCCCACACTCCCAGCCAGAGTCTACACCTCCTCCTGCACCCTAGCCCGAAGCCCCCTCCCGCACCCCAAACCCCTCATCCTGGCCCCACCCCAAACCCACTCCCTCCCTTTTCTTTTCCTCATCCCTGGCCCCACCCCAAAGCCCACACTCCCAGCCAGAGTCTACACCTCCTCCTGCACCCTAGCCCGAAGCCCCCTCCTGCACCCTGAACCCCTCATTTCTGGCCTCACCCTGGAGCCCGCACCCTCAGCCCCCAGCCCATCCCCTGTCCCACACCCCAACCCCCTGCCTCAGCCTGGAGCCCCATCCCACACTCTGAAGCCCTCACCCCCTCCCACACCCCAACCCCCTGCCCCAGCCTGGTGAAAAGGAGTGAGTGAGGGTGGGGGAGAGCAAGCAACAGAGGGAGGGGGGATGGAGTGAGCGGGGGCAGGGCCTCAGAGAAGGGGCAGGGCCTTGGGGAAGGGGCAAGGCAAGGGTGTTCGGTTTTGTGCTATTAGAAAGTTGGCAACCCTCTGCATGGACTGAGATCAGGGCCCCCATTTTGCCAGGCGCTGCACAGACCCCAACTGACATCAGGGCCTGTTGTCTCGGGCACTGCACAGACTCCCCAGAAAGATGGGGGGCCCCGTTGTGCCAGACACCTCACAGGCTCCAAGTGAGATCAGGGCCCTCATTGTTCCAGGTGCTCCACAGACCCCAACCAAGTTCGGGGCCCCCCCCGTGCTGGGCCAGTGCTTGGCAGTGCAGAGCCCCGGCACCTCCGGGCTTGGCAGTGCGTCGCCCCGGCACCTCTAGGCTGGGCACTTCATCTGTTATGAATGTGAATCTGTTATGAATCTAAAAAAATGACTTGAGTCCCAGCACCTTTTCCATTACATATGAAGCACCGTGGGGGGCACTGCACAGACGCGTAATGAGAGAGTCCCCGCCCCGAAGATTTTGCAGAATAAACAGGCAAGACAAAGTCAAGAGCGTGGCCTCCATTTTACAGAGGCAGAGTCGCCCAGTGGAAAAGCAGGGAACAGGACCCTTTCGACTGCCAAGCCAATGCTCTCTCCAGGTCACGCCCTATGGCTTTTGGTGGAGACGCAGGGAGCACTTACTCAATCTGATCCGAAAGGTCGCCGTAAATGTCATTGTCCGCGACGCTGTCCTCGGTGGGGAAGGGGCTGAAAGAGGACGGAGCCAGCTCATGATCAGGTTATAACGCGGGCAAGCCTCGTTCGCGACCGTCTCCTCTCCAGGAGGGTTCGTCTCTCTGGCCTTTTCTGCCCTCAGTTTTACCCCCTGCTGCCCCCATGTCCCAGCGGCACAGGGCTGCCTGCATCCCTGCCCCTCTCATGGAGCTGATCAGCCAGAAGGGGTCACTCAAGAGACTGTCCGTGGGCAAACTTGGACAGATGTCACAGTCAACCAAGGTGGCCATTTACTAACCACATGACCACCACAGCTGATAACTTCTAATTGAGGGGAAGGTCTAGGAGGTAGGACTAGGCCCTCAGATAGGGTTTGGTGGGGAAAGGTTTTTCCGTCCTGCGAATAAGAGTTGAAAATTTTTTTCCATATTGAATTGGGGGCAAAAGGCTGCAATCTTGAAACTAGTCCCGCATTGAGAAAACTAATTTTTTTTTTCGTTTCTGGTGCACTGAAATGTTTCATTTCAATCTTTTCAACCCCAGTTTTGTTCAGACTGGCCAATTTATTCTCTTTTTTTTAAATCCTTTTCTTTTTTTACCCATCTGATTAGCTTCAATCTCCCAATGAAAAGTTGTTTCCAACTGGAGAACCGGAATTTTTCCATTCTGAAAATGTCCAAACGACACATTCTGACCATCTCAAAACTTTCTTCAGAGTCAGGAAGAATTTGGCCAACCTGTCCCTCTTTCACAGCCAGTTTTGGTGTCAACGAATCAGCATTTCGGATGAAAAAATGATTTGCTGGAAAATTCCTACCCTCGATATCACCCAGTGCAGGACTCTGGATCCCTGGCTCGTGGATTCTAGACCCAGGTAGGCTGCCTGATTTGGACCATAAACTAGGATCCTTCCCAGCAAGGAGAGGCCAGGTGATATTAATGAACTACCAGGCTGATTTTCCCATCCACCAGCACATTCCAAAGAGAAATGAAGCCACCCCTCTCATGCATATTCAAATTCCTTGCTGTAGCACTTAGCCGAGGTGCGTCACCATCCATACTTACATGATCCCTTTGGATTGAGCTATCTGAGTCCATGAGAGAATCGACAAGGTCTCGATCACCTGTGAGGAGAGAGAGGGGCGTGCTACATCAGGGGACAAGATGGACAATTGCAGGGATGGCAACAGAACTGTAGCGAGGGTGGATTGGACCCACAGAACCCGGATTGGAACTCCCCGAGGCTCTGGGAATGCAGCGTTGCCCCGTGAGATGCTCTAATAAATTTCTTAGTCTCTAAGGTGCCACAAGTACTCCTTTTCTTTTTACGGATACAGACTAATACGGCTGCTACTCTGAAACCACCCATTGAGCGCAATGGAAACTCCCACTGCCAGTGGAGCTGCTGAATGCTCAGCACGCTTGCAAATATGGCCCCTTGGTGCTAAACCCAAGGGGTTTCCATGCCCTGGGTTAAAATGAGCAGCAGGCTGGGGATCTTCCCAGGATTTTCGCAGCCCCAAAGCCTGCTGGGCCAGCTGACCTCAATCCCCAAATGTGAGGCTTTCCCAAAGTACAAAAAGAAAAAACCAGGAATGTCTCTGTCCAGGGAGCTTTTATTCCGGAAAGCAAGAAAGAACCAATGTAAAGTCTCCATGAAAGCGAGATGAACATGTACTCAGAGACGCAGGATCTCTCACACACAAAGCCCCTTTGTAACACCCGGCAGCTGGACTGCAACACAGAACAGAAGCTGCCCAGCAGCTGTCTCTGCAAACAGATAAGGAGAACCCTCCTGGACACAGATCTTCTTTCAAGCACCATATATCGCTACAAACAGCACACCAATTATCTGGGGGCTTTGGGTGCTCCCCACTAACCCAAGACATTCACATTCTTGGGCTTCTTCTGTACACATGATTTTAAGGACTTTGGGATCTTTGGATTGAAAGGAACAATATAAATCTATGTGAAACTCCTGCTTCCAGAGTGCCCCCTGCTGCTGTGATGGGGAAAGCACCACAAAACCAACACGGGAGCTACTCAGAGGCCAGGTGGGGACACCCACTCACTTCTCAAGAACTGTTATTTATTATTGTTATTATTTATTCGTGTTACAGTAGCACCTACAGATCCCTAAGTGAGATCAGTCCCCCCCACCCCACATTGTTCTGGGCATTGCACAGACCCCCCCCCCCCGCCCCAAGATCAGGGCCCCATTGTTCTGGGCGCTGCACAGACACAGTAAGAGACAGTCCCTGCCCTGAAGAGTTTATAATCTAAATAGACAAAGGGTAGGCGGGGAAACAGAGACCCGAGGGGGGAAGCGACTTGCCCAAGGTCACCCAGCAGTTCAGTGGCAGGAAATGCTCCCGACCTTGTCCCCAAACTCTGGGGCATTTGACAAGGGTCTCGGTCCGAGACTGGGGCTCCCAGGCACGGCCATGAACACGATAAATAATAATTCGCGGCTCGATCCAGCAACACCGAGGTGACACTAAGGGACTATTCCAGACCCAGAACGATGTCGCTGGGCCGCAGCGTGACATGGCAGCCCTGCAGACAGTGCCCAGCGCGCTGATCCTGCTAGGCAAAGGTTGTGGCGCTGACCTCCTGCCTTCTTCCCTAAGACAGAGCTGGAGCGTCGGGGCTGGCTGGGGAGCAAGGGAAGTGAGTTTTTGGGGGTGCGTACAGTAGGGCCTAACTCGCTCCGTGGCTCCGGATGGCTCTCCAAGATGGCTGCCTCATGAGCCAAAGCCCCAAGTGACTCCAATCTAGGGCTGCCAACCGGACAGTCCAGGTTTCAGCTTCTGTGTCCGGGTGCCATTTGACAAGCCCTGAGGTCCTGCATTTTGAAGGGGGGGAGAGGTGGAGCAGGGCGGGGCTTTGTGGAAAGAGGCGGGGCCTTGGGGGTCCGGTTACCAGCCATTAGAAAGGTGGCACCCTACTCCAGTCAAGGCCAAAAGGGGGCGAGGGAGGGTGTGGGTGTGCTTGGGCACTCAATGGTCCACAGGCACCTTAAAGCCTCTTAAAGGGGGCAGGGCAGGGTGGAGAAAGACGCAGTGATAAGCTCTGTGGGATATCTCGGGCCATTTGATCTGCGGTGCAGGTTATGTCACCTCAGACTGGCCTGTCTGGGAGGAAGCACAAAACTCTCCACTTCCTCCTTGGCCAAGACTATTTGACATGCTCTCGGGCGTGCCGGGGGAGCCTTTCCCTTTTCCCTGCTCAGCAGAGTTCATGGGAGACAGCTCCGGGGAGGGTGTCACTGTCACAAAAGTCACTGAGAGGCAGCAGGGAGGTGGATTTACTAGCACTGACCATGAAGCCTAGTGCATGGATGGGGGGCTTCAGAGACGGGCGACGGGAATGATCAGGAGCCTGGAAGAACTCTCCTATGAAGAGAGATTGAAGCGAACAGGAGATAAATATACGGATACAGAATAAGGAATTCATAGATTATAAAACCAGAAGGGACAAATTTGATCAAGTCTGACAACTAGAGAAAACAGAGGGGGAGCTTTTAGTTGCCCTGTCGGGCTACCGGCACAAGTGGCCCCTTTGAATGAAATTGAACAGTGGCAAAGGAAGTGCTTTTTCCACAACACGGGTGATTAGCCGGTGGAACTCATTGCCACAGGACACTGCCATGGCCAAGAATTCGCCAAGATTCAAAGGGGAATTGGCTGTTTACCTGGACAACAAGGAGATCCAGAGTTAGACCAGCAAATGTTAAATGTTTTGGAAGAGAGAGAAACGCATGAGGGCACAAAACAACCCCTCACTATTGGGGATTAAGAGAAGATTTTCCTGAGGGGAGATTATCCCACCTGAGTCTCTGCAGCATGTGGTGCTGGCCACTGTCTAAGGCAGAATAGGGGACTAGATGGATTCTGAGTCTGACTATTATTGTTATTTATTAGGTTTATTATGGCAGTGCTAGAAACCCCATTTCTGCACCAGGACCCCATTGTACTAGGCACTGTACATTATTTATTAGGTGTATTATGGGTAGTGCTAGAAACCCCAGTCATAAATCAGGTGCTAATTGTGCTAGGTGCTGTACAAACATAGACAAAAGAGACAGTCCCTGCCGCAAAGAACTTTTTCAGTCTGGCAGTTCCTATGTTATTTCCCCAAAGCCCGGTAAACTACTAGTTCTCTTCCCTAGGTGCTTATCTGTCCCCCACCCCTGTCATGTCCGAGCACCTCACAATCTTTACTGCATTTACTCTCACAATACCCCTGGATGGCAGAGCAGGGCTGTTGTGCCCACTGTACAGATGGGAACTGAGGCACAGAGATTTGCCCAAGGTCACACAGAGAAGCTGTATAGTATAAAGGGGGAAACTGAGGCACAGGAGGTGGGGGCGAGGAAGCGATGTGCTTAAAGTCATGCAGTGAGTCAGTGGCAAAAATGGGAATAGAATCCAGACTCCCAGGCACCCTGCTCTAACCACTAGATGCCACTCCCCTCCCAGAACTGGATTTAGAACCCAGGAGTCCTGACTCCTAGCCCACCCTGTTCTAAACACTCCCCTCTCAAAGCTGGGGAGAGAACCCAGAAGCAGCTATTACTCCAAAACTAACAAATGCCAGACCGTGGCACATAGGTAAGGAGACCATCCATCCATAGTTGGAAATGCCAGGCAAATAGGAGACAGCTTGCTGAGTAGGCAGCCCAGGAGACACTGAACCAGGGGATCTCCACAGCTTTCAGCATGAGTCTCTCCAGCTTCCGCTCCACAAGCAGTTTCATTGCAGCTCTAACCAACCCACTGTCTCTGTGGCTCAGGCACAGAATGGGGGACACATAACACACGCAGATTGCACGTGCACCCCAACCCCTTCCTGGATGGAATCAGAATTGGGTCAACTCCGTGTGTGTGTGTGTGTGTGTCATAGGCCCTATACTGCCAACAGGAAATGGCATTTCCGCCATTGCACTGGTGTCAGAGGATGACCTATAGCAATAATAGTATCATCTAGCGCTTTTCATCTCAAAGCTCTTTGCAAAGGAAGCCAGGTTTGTTATCCCCATTTTACAGAGGGGAAAACTGAGTCATGGGGAGGCAACATGATTTGCCCACAGTCACCGGCAAAGCTAGGACTAGAACAGAGGTCTCCCAGTTCAATGGTCTAACCACTAGACCACACTGCCTCATATTATCAGACCTTTATGGCCCCAAATATCACAATATCTGAGCACCTGACTCTCTTTAATCTGTATGAATCCTCACACCATCCAGAGCGGTAAGGCAGTGCTATGATCCCCATCTGATAGCTAGGGGAGCAGATGCACAGAGAGATCTGCCCAAGGTCACACTGGAAGCCTGTAGCAAAGCAGGGCCTTGCACCCAGCTGGGCAGCAAGTGCTCTAACCATTGCACCACCCCGTCCCCGAGTCTCAGCTCTGAAGTTTGAGCCTCCACCCCTGTCACCGTGAAGCCTTCGTCCCCCATGACGTACAGCAGCATCGTAGCACGCAGCCGGTACGTGACACCCGCACCCAACCATTCAGCTCTGTGAAAGCCAGAGAAAGCTGCCGGCCCCAGCTCCTCTTCCACGCCCCAGCAGAACAGAAACTGAGCGAGCAGCCCAACCTCGACAGGATGCGAAATCTACAAGAAAAACCACACACGGGCTGCAGCACCAGAGCCTCAGAGACACAGCAGGCGCGTCTCACGTGCAGTGAGAACGCGGCCTTCGCAGATCCGCAGATTTTGGGACCAGACGAGACCATTCAAGCATCCAATCGAAGCTCCCGTAGAGCTCAGGCAGGAGAATTTCACCCCGTCACCATGTCTTGAGCCCAACCACTTCCGTATTTGAAGACCTCAAGAGATGGAGAATCCACCACTTCCCTGGGGAGTTTCTGTCAATGATTCCCACCCCCTCACGGTTTAAAATTGGTGCCTAGTTTCTAATTTGAATGAGTCTGGCTTTTCCCTTCCAGCTGCTGGTTCTTGCTGATCCTTTCTTCAATTGATTAAACAGCCCTTTAATAGACGGTATTTTTCTTCTGGATCTGTGGGTATGTTGTCTACACTGTACATTCTGTCATGTTTAAACTGCAGTCATAGACCCATGGCACGGCCGAGGCTGGCCCAGGTCAGTTGACTCG